CGCGCGCCCCGCCTGCCCCGCCCGCTCTTCGCGGCCGCGGGTCCAGCGGCCCGCGGCAGTTGCCCCTGCCGCGCTCGCCCGCCGCGTCGCCATCGCTGTCGCCATCGGCGCGCTCGCGCCTCTGCACCTCAGGGCTGCGGCGGCGACGGCCCCGGTCCCTGCTTGCGCTGCGGTCCGCGCTGCGGCTGCGGCTGCGGCTCTTGGTGCACCCACGCGGCCCCGCGCCTGGACCGTGGGCGGCACCCCGACCACGCCCGACGCCGTCGGGGCTGCTGCCTGCACCCCTGCTCCCATCCTGATGTTTTTGCTCGTCGCCGCCGCGGCGCCGCTGGCGGCCGTATTCACGGCTGGGGCTGGGGCGGCGCCCACGGCCGTCGTCGTCTTCGTCTTCGTCGTCTTTGCCTTGTTTGTCGCAGTGGCGCGCTGCAGCCAGGCCTGGCGCAGAGCCCCGGCCGCGCCCAAAGCCCGGCGGCTGTGCCCTGGGCGGGGGTGCCGCGGCATTGCTGGCGCCGTAACCGCCGCCCTGCCGCGCCCGGCCTGCGCTGTAGCAACCGGCGCCCCGATTCCCCGGGCGCTGCTCCAGCGCACCGCCGCCGCCGCCTCCGCCGCTGCCAGCGCCGCCTGAATTGAGGCCAAAGTCGGCCTGGAAAGTCCATCTGCTTGCTGCGCCGCGCTTGCTGGCTGACGCTTCGGCATTTCCTGCTGCCTCGCGCGCGCCGCCGGCGCCTAGGCCCCGCGTGGAGCCGTAGGGGTGCGGCGCAGGCGGCGAGAAGAAGCGGCTGAACGGCTCCGCGCCGAGTTGCGCGGGGTGCGGCGCGGCCGCAAACGAGCCGTCGGCGCGCTCCGCGCGCCACCCGTTGTCCGGCGCGCCGGCGCCGCCGCGCTCGACCACTCCCCGGGCTGGCCGCTGCCCGCCGTCGCCGGCGGCCGCAGCGCCGGCCGGGGCAAGGTGGCCGGCGCCCGCGCCAGTGCTGCTGTGATACCATTCACCAGAGCCGCACCAGCCGGCGTCGCCGCCGCCATAGCCCCAGGCGACATACTCGGTCGCCGCCGCGGCGGGCGCCACACCTGACGGCAGGCTGCTGGGGTGCATTCCAAACGGCTGAGGGCCCAAAGCGCCGCCCCCGCCGGCCGCCTGCCACGGCTGCGCCGCCGCGCCGCCGTCGCTTCCCCTGCGCCCCAGCGCCTCGCCGCCGCCGCCGCCGCCGCCGCCGCCGCCGCCGCCGCCCTCCAGTGCGGAGGCCCCGGGGCCGGCCGACGCCGCCGGATCGACGCCGTCGCCGGCGCTGTCGGGGACTTCATAGGCCGGCGCCGCCGCGTCCTTGCAGGCGGCCGCCGCCAAATCGAACCACCACTCGTCTTCATCCTGCGGCGGCTGCGGTTGCTGCTCCTCCTCACGCTGCTCCAGCGGCTGCGGCTGCGGTTGTTGCCTTTCCTCGCGCTGCTGCATCGTCCGCGGTTGCTGCTCCTGCTCACTCTGCTGCAGTGGCTGCAGCTGCGGCTGCGGCTCCTCGAGCCGCTGCAGCGGCGGCGCCCGCGCCCTATGGGACAGCTCCTTCTTGTGCTGCGCCCACATCTTCGCGAGCGGCCCACCTGGGGCGGCGTGCAGGTCGATCATTTGCGCAATCACACTTGCGGCCTGTCGCGGGCCTTCCTTGTGGCGCTGCTGCGGCTGCTGCGGCTGCTGCGGCTGCTGCGGCTGCTGCTGCTGCTGCTGCTGCTGCTGCTGCGCCGCCTCCTCAGCCTTGCCCTCATCTCGCAGCCGGCTCACGGTGGCCACAAGCAGCGGCGCCAGCCGTCCGTCCAGCCACTCCTGGTTCGCCAGCGCCGCCGAATGCTGCTCCATGCGGCGCTGCAGGCGGCTGCCGGGGTGCAGGTCTGCCAGCAGCGCCGCTGCGCCGCGCACCGCCGCCGCAGCCGCCGCAGCGATGTCGGCCTCGCCCGCGGCCGGCGCCGGGGGATGGCAGATGCGCTGGAGCGTCGCCAGGCGCGGCTCGGCGCAGGAGTACAGGTAGCGCACAAGCGCGTCGTGCGACGTGAGGCGGTGCGCCGCGTGACGCAGCAGCACCCTCTCCTCGTCCTCCGCGTCCGCGCCGCCGGCCCCCAGCGCGAGCGGCCCCGCGCCGCCCTCCCGCCC